CTTTCATTTACTTTGGGATAGAGTTGAGGGTGGTGGGTGGGGAGGGGGTAGGGGCTCAAGCCCGTGAGCCCTTCACTACCCACCACCACTGAATACAACGGCGCTTGCTTCATTGTCTGATCTCCACACACAGAACATGAGTGAACAGTACGCACTCAGAGATCAGTAACAGTTATAACACGCTCATGACTTCATTCAAGTGTGCGCATACAATCCTAGCTGAATGACATCAACAAAGCACGACAGCTTAATCAACGAGCACACAGAGAGCCATTGGAGGGGGGCTCAGTCCACGTTGGTGTCAAGAGTCAAGCGCCAAGTGCCTGATGCCTAACCACATGACATAGTGTGGCTTCAGCCCCCATGCCTCTAAGCTAACACAACCACCAGGCAGTTGCTTTGTCTCGGCCTTGAACCATGCAAGATCAAGACGCAGTGATTCAGTCTGTGGGAACTTTAGTGCAGGGGCTTTTAAGGGACAAATCAATGAAATTTCTTTCTCCCAGGCAGAAGGAGCGCCTGATTGGTGAGGTATTGTCGTAGTAGGCTAGGCCTTAAATGATAGTAGACACCCAGACCAATCAGATCACTTTTCGAGTTATATTAGCCCAAGGAGATTAAAAGTAAGTTAGTTCTAAGCTCCTTGTATTAGCCTAATTTTTTTCTTTGGCTGTTCATAGAGTAGTTTAGATCTAGTCAGAAAAGTAACTTTTGGTGAAGAAAACCAGTTGGGACTGATTAAGCTGCAAGCCCCACGCACCCCATTTAAGACGCCATGACTGGATGTAAACTCCAGGATGCTGCCCATTATGCAAGCTGGTAATTTATTACAGCGCCTCCAAACAAACCTAATTAAAAGTTGAATAAAAGGCCACAAAAAACAAAAAGAAAACAAACAGCACTGGCGCCCCCCCCCAAAAAAAAACAACAACCCCAAACAACAACAATAACCAAACAAACAAACCCAACACCAATAATATATATTTTTTAATGTTAACAACCCAACAAAACAACTATTACAGGCCTGCACAATATGATGTCAATTGAATCAACACCTCTCCCCTTTTTCGTTTGTTGTAAAAAAAAAATGGGATCCAGTTATTGTTTATATAAAAAAGAAAGTAGACTGAAATATTATAGACTTGTTTGCGAACTGCAAAAACTGAAATAATTAATCTCCTTGTTCACAATAAACGCAGGAGGCCTTTAAGAATCTTTGTAGAAACCAGTATGTCGTTACATGGCCCTAATTTCGGAAGTCCTGTTTCTTTTTAATTTTCATGTTTCTTCGAGAAGGAACACAAAAAAAGAAAAAAGACGGAAGACAAAAAAGTGATTGTAGTAGGGCCTAATTAATTTGTTGGATTACTCCCTGAAACACCATGGACAAACAACGTTATTCAACTTCCGGTTCCTGGTCTGTCTCTTCCCAGCTTCTGTGACTCTGTCACTCACTGTCTTCGTCCAGGCTCAAGAAGTAAAAAGATGGTGTTCTATTTCACTAGTAACGGTATGGTACATTTCCCTAAAACGTTCTTACCACTTTCCCTAGCTAATTTTTTTTTCATTGACGTTTCTTTTGTAGTTGGATCCTTCTTCTTCGACTTCGAACATTTAAATTATTTGCTATTCTTGAATAACTGAATCATGGAATCAGCACTCACTCACACTGACCACTGACACTTGGTGTCACTAAACACAAGACAGCTTTCACAAATCAGAGGCCTGAAAGTTCCCCAACAGCCCCAATTTTAGAGGCCAATAAAAGTGGACATATTGCATATGTATGGAAGGCTTATTCTGTGTAGAATAAGAATAACTCAATCACAGTGACAGCAGACCCATATTAAAGGAGAAAATCGAGGTGAAAATACCAGTAAAAAATTCCATTCAGACACTCATTTTCATTCCTTTATGGTAATCCATGTTATAATATGAAAGAAATTGTATTGCATGACATAAATAAAATTGTGCATATAAACGAAAAACAACTTGCTATAACAATAGGACTTCCAGGATCAGGATTCGATCCTACTCTCATAAAAAACATTGTATGACTTCAAACGCAGACGCGCTGTCCAATCGGCCATCAGAACTTCCTACAGCAAAAGGTAGATTAAGCTTGTATACATGACAGACACTTCTGTCTTTAGTGCCCTGCAGTATAGTATATTGTGGTCACATGATCGGAGGGGCAGGGCTCCTCTTTTCAGGCCAACTTAAGAGGTTCCTTCACCCTTTGGTTTACTATCTTTTAAGGGGTATTTTTAAAAACCCTTGTTTTAGAAACTTAAAGGGTAAAAGTCAATATCTCATAATTTTATAGTCAGATTTTTTGCTTGTGAACGTTTAACTCACAAGCACATTCACACAGACACACATAGAGTAAAATGATAGAGTGACCATGACTATGATTGAATGTGTTAACAGTTTTTAATAGCCTAATTAACTTAAGAAATAAATTAGTAATATTGACTAGAATTAGAGTTGTGTGTCCATTTGGAGGGGGAAAGAGTGGTGGTGGTTGAGCAGTTGGGCCCAGAGACCATAATAAAATAAAGTTCACAAACCAAAAGGGGTCAATTCCAACAGTAATCTAGAAAAATAGGCCTGCCACTCTATGAAAGTTAAAGTCAAGTTCTGAGTGGGGGAAAAAATGGGATTTGGTGGAAAAAAATCGGGATCAACGACACATCACCTAGGTCACTGCCAAGCTGACTTGAAAAATTTCCAGGGGTGTCCATTATTATATCCATGTATATTCCCTCTGCGTGCGCGCACTTGTGTGTGGTGTATGTGTATGTATGCGTGCGCGCGCACACACGTGTGGCGTGTGTGTGTGATCGCGCAAGGGCGCGCCTGTGTGTGTGTTGTCATTATTTATTTTTTTATCCTGAGGTATCACGTCATGGTCTCCTAGTCCAAGTGTTTTACACCCCCACGGACAATATTCCCGAAAGACGCTTCAACTGGTGCTCATGAACTTAAATTGACCCTGACAACGGACGGTCCCCAACACACGCGAAACTCACGTGCCGAAGTCATGTCACATGGTGTGAACGCGCGATTGAAACAATTTTACTGATGGGTCTTGATGACGGGCCCGACTAACCAAAACTCGGACAAAGCATGTTTTGGTAGATCTTGAGAATGTCTTAAGTCGGAATGCCAAATCAATACTACTTCCATTATAGATCAAGACTTTGAAATAACATGTGTGAGCAAAGATCCAACACAACTTTTGGTGAGTCAACTACTAAATTCGACATAGACATTTTGGGAAATAGTGCTCCCAGTTTCTGCCGACAAAAAGTTTAACGAGTGCTTCCCACGACAGAAAAGAAGGCAGAATAAGATTTTACAAAAATCCGGAGCCACAGACGGAACCAAAAAAAATTAAAAAAAAAAAAATTCGGGGTACATGCAATCAAAATCGGGATGCTTGAGATTTAGTGCAGGGATGAGAGGCAGGTTTGGGAAATAAACTGATTCATTATTCTTCAGAGCCATCCCAGTCCCAGGGTTCATATTCCAGTCTTTCCAGACTTCCGATGGCAGACAATTCACGCTTACTAGTGTGTTAAAGAAGGATGGGGGTAATTTCACAGCAGGGATAAACTCAAGGCACGACACCGGCACATGTGAGTGTCCAGATTGTGGGCGGAGCTTCTGTGCTGAAGCCAGCCGGTGTCGCCGCAAACTGTGCGGAGCTGATTAGTAGGTTGACTAGTCGACTTCTGACACAGAAGGTGAATGTTGTGCATGCGTGTGGGTGTGTTGCCAAATCATCGACTCGGCCTTGCGATAGAGAATATTAGAGAAGGGGGGAAATGATGCTTTTCAGACGCTCACAACTTTGTTTTAAAGCGTATGCAAACCCCCGAAATGAAATTATAAAGAGTAAAGCTCACGCACAACCAAATCTTAAAGGGGTAATCTATAGGTTTAATGCGTAATATACGCACATTTGTGCGTATAGGGGAGCCCTGTCGGAGGGGTATCCCGGTCTGACGTCAAACAAGATAACTACCTTACCTAAAATTAGTTTGCCATCTTCTTTGTGCCATAAAATAGTGTTCTTCATTATGACAAAAGACAAAGAAGTTCCAGACCTGGATCTGCTGTCTCACTGTCCGATCTGAAAAAAAAAAGTGGAGTAAAAAAAGAAAGCTTTTTTTTTCTTCATTGTAGCAAAGTGTTATGATATGATAATGCTAGAATCTAATTATATTATGTATGTTAAAGAATAGGTCAAACAAGATGGCTGTTACTGTAAATATTGGCCAATGACATACATCTGACGTTCTCTAACTATCTACTTGTGGTGCCTAGTGCTCCGCTATTCTTCCTTTCAAGGCTTCCCATCTCACTTTCCTACGCCCCCACCCTTCGACTGCCAACTACCGACCGATGTCGCTTAC